TATGACTATCCATCGAGTCAAGTGACTTGTCAAATGATTATATTGTCATTAAGAACTTCAGCAAATCAATTCTTGAGACATGGGTAATTTTATAAAAGCAAAGTTTTTAAATGACAATGATTAAGGCCAAACAATGCTTCTTAATTAGGGAATATCTTATTTATACTTTTGCGAGCCTTTAACTAATATAATAGAAAATGTTCTGTTTTCTTTTTCATTATGTTGAGCTAACAGAGCTCCACAAGACTCTTCTAATGATGATGTATATAAAATAACAAGCTTCTATAGAATGACAATCATCTATTCAAATTCAACATCCTAGTAAGAGGCTTCTCTCGAATCTAAGTCATTTCGATAGGGCTAGGGCGTGAATTTTAGCCACCCAAAAATTTTTAACGACTTTATTGAGAAGGATTTTTCTTCATCTTTAGCCAGACATACTTTTGATATAATAATAGTAAAGTATTAATAATATTAAAATTTGAAATCTTAAAGTGATGTCATTATAACCTATGATATGTTCTTGTTTATGGATGGATTCTCGAGATATAACCAGATTAAATTGACATTTGAATATAAGAAACATACTTCATTTAGAACACCTATCAATATCTATTGTTACACAATCATTTTTTTTTATTTGAAAAAAATAAAATAACAAAGTAAAGGGTTATGTCTGACATATTTGATGACATGATCCATCAGAAGGTGGAGTGCTATGTCAATGATCTTGTCGTTACAAGTGAATATCATCGAGACCACATAGAAGATTTGAGGATGGTCTTTAGAAGAATCAAGAAGTTTGATTTTAAAATGAATTCTCTCAAACATGTCTTTGGGGTTACATCAAAAAAATTTCTTGGGTATATTGGACGTCATAGAGAAATTAAGATTGACTCTAATAAAATCAAAGTGATCATCTGAACGTTTTCTCCCAAAAAAATCTGTCAACTATATTTTTTACGTAGTTAGCTTGCATTCATTCGACATTTTATATCCAATTTATCAATCGCTTTTAGCTAATCGAGGACTTTGTGCCAATCAAATGTACGTCTATGATTCACGACTCAAAGATTAGAAAACTGTTGAGAATTATACAAGCTACAATTATCATCACAATTTAATTTTATAATTTGACGATAAATCACGCGAAAGGACTTTGTGCCAATCAAATGTACATCTATGATTCACGACTCAAAGATTAGAAAGCTGTTGAGAATTATACAAGCTACAATTATCATCGCAATTTAATTTTATAATTTGACGATAAATCACGCGATCAGACGGTTTTGATTGTAATAACTATTTTTTGTATAGTTAATTGCTTGAAGATTGACTTCAGTGAGAAGTGATCTTTTTTTGGAAGATATTAACATTGTATGCTAATGTTGTTGGTGTCAACTATTGGCATTGACTTTGATGCCATTAGAATAATTTGAGATGAGTTGTAGTCGAGACAATTGTTTCATCATTGCTGCAAACATTAAAGAGTGAGGGACAATCTAATGGAAATTGAGATATGAGTTTGTTGATTTTGGAAGACTTGAAAAAATCTTTGGTGATATTGATGAAGAATATAATAATATCATATAGATTGAATAGTTCTACATGTGACATTAATATAAAGCTTATTATTTGTAATGTTCATGATATATGCTTCTTTTTGTTGAAATTTATGAGCTTGCCTGAGGTTTAAGATCATATTATCGAATATAATACTTATAATTCATAAACTCACAATTTTAGTCCTAGAGAGTTGAATTTTGAGCACTCGGCAAATATAATGGAGGAGGCCTTTAAGATAGCAACTTCTCTTCGTTGCATATGTTAGTAAGATCAAGGCATTTGCCATAGTAGTGATTGATTGTGTTGATATTATGATTTCAGTTATACTCTTTAATTGTCTTAAGGAGGGTCACGAATACTTCTTTTTAGAAAGTTCGTTGTCCTTGAGTTGTTATTATAGGATGCCATTTGTGGCAAAGATGGTGAGAGAAGCTCAGAAGAAAATTTTAGGCTTATTTTAAATTGTTTATTAGAGCTCGAGTCAATGATATTTTCTTGTGTGGAAGAGTTTGGGAGAAGTCCTACAAAATTTGAACTCATCTAGGGTTGTTTGTTGTGTTGACCGACGACTTTGACATGTATTAAAAAGGTTGAGGGAAATTCACCCATGATGTTTGACTTGCCCAAAACTATTTATAAAAGTGTTACTTGACGAGGTTAAACTGTGTTAAAGTAGTTGAGAAAAACTCATTGATAGTTTCTTGCATACAACAACAACAACAACAACAACAAAGGCTTAATCCTACTAAGTGGGGTCGGCTACATGAATTTTTTTTCTCCATTGAGTCCTATTTAGACTAATAATTTTTTTGCATATTTGAGATTATTTGTCAGACTGTTATCCAGTGACATTATGATAGGTCCAAAAAAAAAAATCCATCAAGTGTGTTTATTCTGTCCAAGAATGCTTGTTTGAGTGCTACTGGGAATGCTCGACTTGTGTGGAGGAGGTAAAAAAAATTTATTGGCGATATTTGATCTATTCAAGATTGTTTGTTAGAGTACTACTCGGTGTTGTTGGCGTATGTTGAAGAGGATGAATGCAATCTATCAAGGATGTTTGGCTTATTTGAGGTTATTTGTTGATGTGTTACTAGGTAATATTAGCCAATGCCAAGGAAAATTCATTAATGATTTCTTATTCATACTAGGTTGTTTGTGGGGGTGTTATTAAGTGATATTAATTTATATAAATGAGATCGAAGATAATTCATTTCGGACTTTTGAACCACCCAAGGTTTTTTTTATCCAAGTGTTACTCAATGTTATATCTTGATTGAAAAGGGTCGGTGGTCTTGTGTACCTAAATCAATGGTAAAATCGTTTTGTATTTAGGAGTTGCATGATTTGTTGAAAAAGTAATGCAATGTAAAAAGAATATAGTGTAAAATTAATGTGTTGTGTTTATAATATTTTGGAATTGTATGGTTCAGTGTAAAATAAATGCAGACTTCATTTTTTTTTTTTTTGTTTGAAGTAAAATGATAATAGTGTAAAAAATGAGGTTGATAACATGCGATTAGACGACATTGGGTGGCTAGTGGCGGCATTAAGTCGGATAGTTGGAGGTAGGTAAGTGGGTTGGAGGTTGTTGGTAGTGGCTGGTGGCTAGCTAGTGGTTGTGGCTGGTGGCAGTGGCTAGCAGTGATTGAAGGAGGATGGCTAGTGGCTGCCAAAGGAAGTGACGGGCTGGGAAGTGATCGATGTCGGCGGAAATGGCAGTGGCTACCAGCAAAGATGGTAGTGTCAGGCAATCGGTAACCGGTGGTGGCAGGCAATCGGTAAACGGTGGTGGCAGGCAATCGGTAAACGGTGGTGGCAGGCAATCGGTAAACGGTGGTGGCAGGCAATCGGTGGACGGTGGCAGGCCTGCTGTGGGCGACCCCATTTGCAGCGGTCGACACCAGCTGCAGCGGGCGGCACCAGCCATCAATACTTTACATAAAGTTGTATATTTGAAATTCACCCAAATCCATCAAATTTCAAATCATTGAAAATAAGTCGTAGAATGAATTCCAAATGCCTTGTAACTAGGGGTGTAAACGAGCCGAACACGAGCGAGCCATGCTTAGCTCGTGTTCGGCTCCTTTATAGTTTGAGCTCA